CCCCGGCGGCCCCGCCGCCCGAGGCCGGCGCCCCCCTCCCGCCCCGTCCCGTCCCCAGGCGCGCCCGGCACTTACGAGTCGCCGTCCTCGGTGAGCTGCTGCTTCCAGGGCTCGGCGCCGCGCGGCGCCTCCTGCGGCTCGAGGCAGATCTCGCGCAGCTCCTTCACCATCTGCTCGTACTCCTCGTCCTTCATGGAGTCCAGGCCGCTGTCGTGGCGGTCGTCCAGCAGCCGCTCCTTCTTCAGCCCGTCCCGGGGGCCCTCCATGGCCCAGTCCTGGGAGTGCTCGGCGGCCTGAAACATGGCGCGGCGAAAGCTGCAGGCGCTGCTCCCCAGGTGCGCTCGGCCGCGGGCTGCGCGCTTCCTCGCTGCGTCGCTTGCTCGCGGGTAGGACGGCGGCTGGGACAGTTGTGGGCTCGGCAGCGCCACCGCGGCGCCCTATAAACGCTGGCAGGGGATTTCTCCGGGGCGGGGTCAAGAGCGGGGAATTTCCAAGCAAGTCAAACCAGAAACGAGAACTGGCTTCGTCCTCTGCTAGGGGAAAAAAGAAGCCTAAACCCTGTGCTGGGGTTCAACAGAGAAACTCCCTGAGATGAGCCACTGGGGTCATGTACAGGGAACTTTTTGATGAGCGCTGAGTGGCTGGAAAACCCTCCCGACAGATTCCACCCCCCACTCCCCCAGGTACTTCCCTGCAGCCAGCACCCAGCAATCCTGGCCCCCGTGCAGAACCATCTGCTTTCCCTGGGGTTTCCCTCCATCACTGTGATTTGGGGTCTGTCTGCTGCAGACATTCCAAGCACACAGACCAGCTGGGTGGTTCCTCCTTGGGGTTTGCCAACCTGCAGGCTCTTTCCGTTTTTTTTGTTTTTTTAATCTTTTGAAAACCCAAGAGTGGAAATGAATGCAGGGATCCATTTCCCCAAACTTCTTGTGCGAGGAAGGTTCCTGCGTGGCTGGTCCCACTGTGTGTTGTGGCCAACACTTTTGCAATGCCAGGACATGGAGGTTTCCCAGGGAGAAGTAATGAAGACTGTGAGGTGTAAAGCGTACATGCTTGGAGAACCCCTCCGACGGCTTACTCAGGATTAGCAGCCCTGTGGAGTGAGAGAATGCTTTGCTCCAGTATTTAGAAAAGTGCCAAATAGGACCCTGTTCCTTCAAATTGATGCCCTTTGTTAGATATTGTGCAATAACAAAATAACCATAAGTCTCTCTGTGTTATCCTTGCTTTTAAGACGATAAAATTTGCATTGTAGTCATGCAGAAAACAAAGCCTGCTTTTTACCCTCAGAGCAAAGAAGAGTGAGGAAAATCAAAGGCTCCATGAAACTATTAGTCCAAAGGACTTACTGGGCCATACATGCACAACCTCCCCTAATCTGAGACCGGAAGAGCTAGAGGGTGCCCGGCTACCACTGCCAAACGCTCTGATCCGGCTCACAGTAGAAGTGTCCATGAAAGCGTGGGAGAGAAATGCATAGTAAAATTCAAACTGATTTCAAAAAGACCAGATTTATTGGTCTGATGGAGACTGGTGGAACCCCTGAGATGATGGCCCTGAACACCCTTCAAACCTGAAACAACTCACTCTGGGAGATCGCTTTTCAGCCAGTCAATAAGACAGGCCTCTAAGTGAACAGCACCCTCTGCAAGGAACATGCTCCTAAGAACAAACAGTCAGCCGCCGGGGACCAACAGAACAGCAAAGTTCAGAAGGCAGGAAGGGGCAGAAAGGTTTGGGGTATGGAAATGGGGAACCCAGGGACAAAGTGAGAAGTGCATTGTTGTTACACTGAGGGGATTGCAGCCAATGTCCTGAACAAAATGTGCTTAAATTGCTGACCAGGAAATTACTTTGCTCTGTGGACTTCCACCCTATCCACAGTAAAATGTTAAAACAACACAGCAACCGGTGCTGTGCCAGGAGCTGAAGGAGAGGGATGCTGAAGAATGAGGTGAACTGCATCTTCCCCAGGTGGGCCCTGAAGGTGGCTAAGAAGGTCACTGTTCAGCAGCATGAAGTCAGTGTCACAACATTGCCCAGCCTGTCTCTGCTGGCCTGTACTTGCTGCCCCTGACCTGAGCCAGGGCAATGGTTAGACCCATCCACTTGAGCCACACCAGGAAGATAAGGGCTTGAGCTCATGCTTCTCAAGTTTTGCCTGCAGAATTAGAACATACTGCTAACTCACCTTTGCCTCCTAATCAGCAAGCCATGACATACATTCACCTCCTCAAGCAACCTAAAGCAACTTAGATCAGAGCTTTCGGCGTCAGCCCCAGGAGTCCTCCAGCCTTGAAGAGTTTTCTAGTGATTATTTGGATCATCTTCACCTTTACCTCCACTGGCCAACTCTCCCCCACGCCCCATCACCTCCCACCCAATATCAGAATATAGGGGATCTGGGCCAAGGAGGGGGACCAAATGTGTTGGTGGTCGTGGGGAGACAAATCAAGAAGTAAAATCTTTCGGGTAGCAAGAGGACATGTTAAGATGGAAACTGGCAGGAGTAAGACTGCATTGTCTGTAGGCATTATGATATGCAAATACCCCATGGCCAGGCAAGGTGGGACAGGGATGATAAGTAGATTTCAACTCTGGTCTTCGCGCCTGACTAACTGCACATTAGCTGAGATCAGTGAACTTTTCTGTGATATACTTGCTTTTAAAATAGTCAAGTGGAGCTGGATGCTTTCAGTTCAAAAATGGTATTACCTTGCCATGTCTCCCTGTCTGACTCTGTCAGCGTGACCACAGCTTTTAGACATATCTCAGTCTACATGATCAGGAAGACTTTAACCCTTCATGCACCACAATGTTTCATCCCAAACCTAGCCTTGTGTCCTTGACATGGTTTCTACTGTTCTAAAAAGAAGCTGCTAGGCAGAGAAATTTGCTCAGGGATTGCATGGCAACTCATCTAGCCTCTATCCCAATATACTAACACTCACTGCCATCAGGCCAATTCAGACTCATAGTGACCCCTTAGGACAGGGTAGAACGGCCCCTGTGGATTTCTGAGACTAACTATGGGTAAGTCCAACGGGTGGCTGGTAGTTTCAAACTTCTGACCTTGCCATTAGCAACCCAGTGCGTAACCCACTATACCACCAAGGTGCTATCATAAGGATGTTACTTGGAGGTCTAAAGGGCATTTGACCCAAGCCATGGTGTTTTCCATGAAATCCTGTGCACATGAATCAGGAAGCCTAAGAAAATAGATGGACTGGAACTCTGGTGTTGCTGCAGCGTGCTGAAAGCACTGTGGACTGCCCAGAGAACAAGCACATCGATCGGTCTTGAAAGAAGTACAGGCAGGTGCTCCCTAGAGGCAAGGACGGGGAGACTTCGACTCACCCACTTTGGATGTGGGGTCAGGAGAGACCAGCCCCCGGAGAAGGACCGTGTTTGGTAACGTAGAGGGGCCGTGAGAAAGAGGAAGGCCCTCACAAGATGGATGGACATGGTGGCTGCAGCAATGGGCTCCAACATCAGAACACTCGTGAGGAGGCGCAGGCCCAGGCGGTGCGTGCTTCTGTCATACGTAGGGTCGCTGTGCCGTGCGAGGGGGCATCAACTCAACCGCACCTGATAGCACTCCGATCTATTAGCCAGGTGGCCAACACTCTCTCAAAACAGGACTCACTGCACTATCTTTCCTGCTCTGTGAGGTAAAATAGAGTGCTTTCTTTGTCTGGGAATATTCATATTTTTAAAAAATGCATTATACTGTGAAAACCTAACTGCCTCCTTTATAAAGGACACCTTAGGGGAGGCCTGTTAGCTACAGGTTAAAAATTAATATTAGAAAGAAAACCCCACCTAATTGGAGATTTCCTCAGAAAGGCGACCAGATGGCATTTCTTTGCACCTCTTTTCTGGGTGTGTGTTCCTGAGAGCCTTGGTGTAGTGAGTTACGAGTTGAGCTGCTAACCACAAGGTCAACAGTTCAAAACCACCAGCTGCCCCACGGGAGAAAGACGAGGCTTTCTACTCCCATAGTTCTTCTATTCTAACCTGTCTGCTTTTAGTCAGAATAGACTAGGCGGCAGTGAGTTTTGAATTTCAGACCTGGTGCTTTTTATTCTGGGTGGTTTAGTGGGCCACCTAGTGGTAAGAATTAGGCCCAGGTGTTTGCTGATTTGTCACAGCGCTCCCCCACCCTCAGCCCCACCCCGATCTGGGGAGGTACAGAGCCTTGGTGACCTGTCATACAGTGGGAATTCCCAAAAGGTAACTTTGTTTTCCTGCAGCCCTGGAGACAGCGTTACCTAATGTGATCCAACAGGTGTTCTTATCTTATATGTGCATTGAAAACCAACAAAGGTTTCAACTTCGAGGGTGTGTGTGTGTGTGTGTGTGTTGCAGAGAACACTCTTGGAAACCAGAAAATAAGAACGAGAGCAAGAGAAGACGGTAGGATGGGCGGGTGGGGAAGGGGTTCTGGTTTTCCGTTTAGAAAGACTTTGACGGAATCTTCAGGACTTAGGTTGTATGTCCGCACCTCAATGCCACACGTCTCGGCTCACCTAAGAAACCAAAAAGCTAGAACTCAATGCCAGTGAGTAGTTGCCTCTGCATAGTGAACCTGTAGGGCAGGATAGATCGCCCTCTGTGAGTTTCCGAGACAGCTCTTGCGGAGTAGAAAGCCCCCTTTTTCTCCGGGGGAGAGGCTGGTGGTTTCCAATTGCTGACCTTGCAGTTAGCAGTGCAGTGTGTAACCACAGCCACCAGGGCTCCAATTGAAAGCTGCTGTAACCGATGGTAACTGATGCACAGTGCCACTAGCTTTTCCCCCTTTTAGTGCAGAAGGCAAATGTGCTACACCCGGGGTTGCGTTGGGTGTTCGCCCTAGACGGAGCCCAGGGAAGGGCAGGTGGTCAGGGTCGCTCCCTGGCCTTGCTGGGGGCCCAGAAGGAGCACTCTGTGGGAAAGGAACATCATCCCTTCACGTGCTCGTCCCCTGATGGGAAGTGCAGTGGGCACTGAGCCTATTGCCTGGCAGGCCCGGGGCCTGCATGGTGGAGACTTTCTGGCAGTTCAGTCAGGTGCTCTAACATCCCGGCATTTTTTAACACCACAAGCAGGGTGGTCTGTGCCAATTGCCTTGGCCGGTTAAACCCAACATTCTTTTGGTCCCAGAAATTGGAGTTCCTAAGTCAGGCTCTTTGCCACTGCAGGCACCCGGGCTGGGATAAAGAGGAACCGTGACCGAGTCCCTGAAGAGCAAGGCTGGCAGGAACACACCAAGGAGCTGCCGGCCCCCTTGTGAAACGGTGAGTGGAATTTTCTGGGTCTCCCCTCATGCTCAATCTTATTTCTTCCTCCACTGACGAGCAAGCGCCTACATTTCCCTC